TGAAGATGATAAGATGAATAGTTTAGTTTACAATGAATTGATTTTGACGATAATAATGACGATGGTGATAATGACAAGATTATTAATAGAAAGTAGGATGACGATAATGTCATTCTTAATTGTTTCTAGACAGTAACATAAAGTAATATAATGAATGACTATCGTTTTTACATACACCAACAGCATTCTGATCAATGTGGGATCGGTAGTAGTAGTAGTCTAGAATAGAATCAAACTCTTGGTTAGATCTTGTCCTAAAATTGAGCATTATTATTTCCAGATTTCATAAATTTCTGACTTGAAAGAAAAGTGGAAATTGTTGACTTCAACTGAACTCCTCAAATCGTCTAGAAAAGAACTGTTGGTTTGAATTTTGTACTTGTTGGCATATGCCAATAAGGCCGATTCGAAACTAAGAATCCAAATGTCTGTTTGGAAATTCAGGCTTGTATTACTGACCGCTGCAGCAAATGTTAATTTCAATACTCCATTCAGATTCCGATGAGCCAATAGTATGAATGGACTACTTACACAATGTGGTAGACTCCTATACGATACTATTCATTTAACTGAAAGATTTCGGGAAAATGAGAGTTGAACACGGTAAATGTTACTATTTTACATCCCATACGGTAAGGATCAGTTTCGAAGCAATCGTCTGAACAATTCATAGTCTGAAACTACTTTTCTTCTTATTCCAGACATTACGTTGGAAATGTTAAACAATAGTTTCACTCTTGCGTTAGATGTTTGAAAATCAGCACTTAGAACTAGACAAAACAACAATGGTTGTGATGATGCAATCACTAACGTCAAACTGCACGCACTATGATGTCAATTCGTTTTACCTAGTGAGTGTTTCGAAACGTAATTAGCATTAATGGTTAATTAGCATGAGATTGGTTACATTCAAGTGAATTCATGTGTGGTTGTGATCGCACACACTAAGTAGAAACAACAACTCAGAGACCCTCAAGCCGATTTACGTTCATGGGTGTATAAGTCTCTGTGAATTACACCTAGATTATCCATCTCACGACGGCTTCAGAACAAGTCCCAAATCGTGACAGAGGTATCGACTGGATCATAGAAATATAACATGGACAAAAGTGCATAAATAGTGAATTTCCTAGTTGACATTTTCATGATGAGACCAAATGCAATTTCAATAGCTTCGTTTTACAAAACATATTATACAAGGATGATAATTAATAACCGTATAATTTAGCTAAACTAAGAAAGTATAAGAACACTAATCTAGAAGATACTTGATTCAACCCTAACCGTTATGTATGGTTTCCTATAATTTTAATCATATTCTTGATTCCTCCTTTATTTCACGAACTATTATATGAATGAACAATATGTATCAATTTAGCCTTTTTTTATCATACTAACTACCCAGACAGATTTTATTCCATTCAAGCATAGATTGATTGAAGTGCTGACTGAAGAAATGACTTTTTGAACAATAATCAAATTATATAATATTCATATACATTCGGTAAATACATTGGGTTTCCAAAGGACTAATTCCTACTGCAGGTTTTATATTTATTGATAGTTGTGAAAATAATGTTATATGATTGGACATGAAGAAATCTATACAGTTTATCTTTCAACTGAAATTTGAAAAAAAAAATCTTCTTTGGAAAAATATCATTTACACTAATCAGACGTTTATTTTGTTTATGTAATATTCTAATCATATGGAAATTAACTCAAAAAGAAAAAGTACACTTGCATCTTATTAACATGTTTCTATAAATAGGATTAAAGAAATTCATAAAATGATTATTGAAGTGATACTTGTGTTTATGATGTGTTCATATTAGTTTCAGATTATTATTATTATTATTACTGGACATATGTTTATACATATAATATAAAAAGTATGGGTCTTTTTCATGGAACAATCATTGATTTTTGTCAGTTAATATTTTTTCCAAAGATTGAAGCAACCAAGGTAATGGTAATGAATCGAAGACTCTCTAAACGACTAAAAACAACGGTAGAAAGAATAATGAATACTTCTAAATCCCTGTCCGATTAATATGGTGTGTTAGAACAAGTTGACTTCTGAGATTGTTAAGTGGTTCAAATGCCTGTAAACGGAATAGACGACACCTTCTCTAAACCAGCTATCGTGTCTAGTAGCAATGAATCACTGATTACTCCAGATAGGGAGGGACCAAGGTATGTAAAACAAGTACAACTGAGAGAATTGCCAATAAGTCAGCATAGGATGCTGTTCTAGGTCTCTAAGAATACATCAACTATCCTCCCGAAAGACTGTGAAAGTTGTTTGGGTCACTAATCTACAAATTTTCCTCATCATTTCAAAATTAGTCAATAGACTTGTAGTTTAAATTATTACTTAGGTAGACTTAACTGTTCAGAGTTCAATGAGAATGCCTTTATTCAGTGCGTGCAGCATTAGCTGACCAATATTTTATAATTTTCGCTGACTGACTTTTTTTAAAGAAGTATGAAAGTCGACGGGCACTGGATAGCTGTTTCGTTCTAGTATGGAACTCCTCCTGAGTGAAAATCTACAACACATACATAGATCGAGTCCAGAATCTTCGACTATTACAGCAACAGTTTAACCTTCAGACCACTGAATCACTACCCAATAGTTTACATTCGTAACTCCAGTCAGTCCGTGATCTTGCACGAACTCGATCTATTGGCGTGGGTGATTCCTGTCTCACACCAGAGATTTTTCAGCACCGGGAATTTTCTTGTCGGGATTAACCAGTACTGAGTACATGATTGTTATAGAGGGACGGGGAGGCAGAGATTGTTCAATATTTCCTAATTGTTACACTATTTTATTAGTGTAAAAGTACTTTCGGATAAAACTATTTCCATCTATAACTAACAAGTGACCAACCTAAAATAAAACAAATTCCTAATCTATTTGTAAGTGAATATAAGCTTATTTATCTTATCATTAAATTTGTCATACACTCATAATTATAGCAACAAATATATTAAATCAGTTTCATTTATTTTATGGAAACGAAACTATTACCATTTTTTATCTTTATCATGACTATTAGAAAGATTGTGTTATCTTTTATGGCTGTTACTATATTAGATAAATACAAAGATCCACATTACCCTCAACTCAATTACCGATTGAACACGCCCATTTATTTATTGCTTGTACAGCTGTAAAACCAGCACATTGAACTAAAATAAAATATGCACCAATGTTATTGCTATAAAAGTGGTGGTCCTTTTTTCTAGAATTTATTATCGAATGACAAAAATTAAGAAAACATGTCAAAACAGGAAAATGGAATGACAAAAGTGAACAAAAACTATGAGTGGGAATCTGATTTGTTTAGTTGTTTTCGATTTGCATGTTTCGCTGTGTACCTACGTGTTAGCCATTATCTTCCTTGGTAATTGTAGATCCTGTTAGAAGTATTTATTCATATGAGTATTCTTCATTTTTGCAAAGGCTTCATAAAATGAATTGTTATTAGTTTTCATCACGGACTAACACCAAGTGAAGAATTGTTGAAAACCAATGGTGCGTTGAATAACTGTTTCACCACAACTTTCGTATTCTCAACAACCTTTATTTAAGACCACATATGAGATCCAATTCAGGACCTAAACGTCTGCTGGTGAGAATAGTAATTTAAGACCACTCAGTTGAATTCCAACGGTTCACGTTTTCAGTTTCAGCTAGTTCATCAGTAATGAGTAACTATCATTTAATTCGACTGAGAACAACTATCATATTCCCTGTATGGTCAACTCCACAGGTCAACGCTTCATTATAAAAACTGATCATGACAATCAACTAGCTACCGCCTCATCCCTAATGAATATAAGAAATTCCCAAACTGATTAATTGATTGACCAGAAAAATGTGTTGATTCACCTACTGGATGTATTTATTTTCATCTCATGTTAGTGGATAATTAATTTCCATATGAAATTTGAAGATGTTAACCATAAAACAGTAAGATTAATTAGATAAGCATTAAAAACCAGAGTCTTAGTTGCATCATTAAACAAAAAGCGCTCGTTTACTCTTCAAAATAGTTAATTAGTAAGGTCGTGTGATTTCACTTCGTCTTTATTCAGGACTCCAACTTATAAGTCTCTTTTGGTATGTGTACATCCTATGTGTATGCCTCGATATTGCCTTATAAATCACACAGTTTTCTAGTATATTCGGATTGTGGCTAATAGTGGAATCTAGGACATGCACTAATTCCTATTCAGGATTACTCAGCCAAACACACCTGTACTCCAGTGCCGTTGTTCATACTTTAACTCCTTACCAACTCAGATTATTCCGAGGCACCAAGATTTGAACTCGTAACTTTGACACAGTCCCATGAGAGCTATTAACGAACAATGGGAAACACACACTTTAAGTAAATTGAATCAGGTTTCCTGGATATTCTGGCTAAACTTATTGGTCAACTACTAACTTATATGATAATAATCTAACAACGTTCATTAGTTCCTTAAGTCCATGGTATATCCAAACCTGAGTCTATTTCACTGTGAATAATACCTTTGAAGAAGCTTAATGTTTATCATCGAGTATCACAATCTAGTTAACTGTAGCGTTCTTACTTTCAAAGTATTTAAATAAGATGTCAACTTGACACCTTGCGCATGTTTGCTGAAATCAGTCACTTTTTATTCCTTTTAAATTCTCTAAACCTGTTAATATTCTTCCCATGTAAACATGGCCAACAGTCTATCATGTCGAGATCCAAACCGTCCAACAACTAGAAAATGATAGGCATTAGTGAATCAGTGAAAATTAGGTCAAAGTACATTATTTCATTTTGTTTTGGCGTTCCTGTTGTTAATTTCTTCTTGATAACGAAATAGTTGTTAAGAAATAACTGACATATTCCAATATTTATGAAATCATATTCGTTTTGTATTCGCGTCCCTTTCTTGTGTATATAAGTTTGTAACGCTAAATTTTGTTGTCCTTCTTTCTTCTATCAAACTAGCACTGATCACGATTTCGATAATTGCTGAATGGTCAACACCAATGAACAAAGACAGCTTACTAAAAATACTAAAACCACGTGATGGATCGAGAGTGATCCTGCGTAAATTTGCCAAAAACATTTGTATCTGTATGCATCTGAATGGAACAGTTTATACAGAGGTATGTAACTTTTTAACTATGAAGTTACCTCAATACTTTTTGACAATTTAAGACCCATTGACCTTGGACAGATATCTGCATCAATTGTCATGAAAATATTAGACAAAATAAACAACGTTTTTAACTTACTGATCCCAATTGGATAAATACTATAAACAGAAGCGCAATCAGTGCTATTCTATTTTTATTTAGCTTCTTAGTCACGCTATTCAGCTGCATGGTCGGATTTTAACAGTTCACGAATAGTGTTGAACATCCTTGGTAGGCTTTTTCCTACTCTTGCTTTAGTCTATTTAATGGGTTGTAAATTTTCAACAGCGTTTCGGAAGATTCATGTGGGAGCAAGTGACTAATGAGCATTGAGTTGAGTCATCATTTGTTGACGAATTCGTGAATCTTAAATTCGTTTGACGATTGAGTATAGGTTGAAAAGTGTCAATAATCTGATTCTATATCGATCATTAGTTGTCATTGTACCCCCTGAGATATACGAAGTCATTTGTTCACACCTGTACTTGTGCTGGTGTTGGCACAGTAGTTCTAATCTTTTGTAAAAATCATTTCAGTACACAAAAGCAGTACAGTTGTGTGGTTTGTCTTTCTGTTTGACACCAATCTATCAAGGCTAATGTAAATTTACAAATGTTCAATTCACTTGACTACCCCATCTACTACTTCGCTGAATCGATCCGCTTCGTTCATTCGTAGATTACCATCTCATTCTTCTAAAGGGCAACACAATCGCGAGTCGTTATTTGGGTATTCAAATGTGAATCTCAAAAGACTCTGGATTTAATCAGTTTACTCTTCCAACTGGATTACATATTCTTTATACTCTCGACGTTCACCGGATACCCGATTAAGTTATCGATTCCAGAACAACTGATAAGGGTGAGCCAGTCATAATGAGTAGTATTTATTATTCTCAGGTCTGATAAAAATGCTTGATAAAACTCCTGAAGACTTGACAAAAACAATAGAAAGTAGAAGAATTTGAAATAGTTTCCTAATTTAAATATTTACACACTCAATATCCATTGAAGCCATATAATGAGAAGTTGTTTGTGTCATGTACATTTACTGATCATTTGTTGTCTTCTTTACACAGCGTATCATTAACCAAACATTAACCGATAACTGTGAATGGCACCTCAGAGTATCAAGGCATGGGATAGGCTTTGAACACCAACTAACTGAAGACGATATCACCGATGAATCTCAACAACACTTCCTTCTTAATTTATCTAATAACGCAACAATCTATGATGGAAGGTCTCCAACGTTAAATGTAATTGATGAGAAATCCTATACAATAGCTTCCGGTTGGACTCATCAACTATGGCAACCTGAAGCGACGTGGCAAGTTTATGGATTCCAGCCAAAAGGATTACTAGCTGTTATTGAAAAACAAAGAAACTCTTCAGGTTTTCAACGTTTCGTTTCAATGGATAAAGAAAGTTTCAACCAATCGGACGTAAATAACACCTCAACAATATCTCCATCATCTTCAAGTAATACTGTGAAAATAGGTTCACAAAAAATGTTAGTTTTAGAAGCGCCTGCCTATTACTTCAACACATTGCATCATAAAGCAAAACTTAAGCATTGTAGCATGCTGAAAAGCAAACTTGTGAAACTCGTACAAACGGAATTACTTATGAGTTTACAAACCCTAGACAAATATAGGCAAGCATTTCAGAAATTCACGCTTCTTATTTACAAACATTCAATGACTAATCATAAGTATAATATTAATATGGTATCATCAAATACTGTAGCGGAATTACTAGATCAGTGGTTGATGCTTCTGGACTATAAATGGCGCCAAACAATTAGATTAACCTACAAAGCAGATTCAGTGTCCAATTACCAAGTGGATAATTGTTCGTTGAGTTTCAAATCATCGTTCGAAATAAACACTGTTGGTAATGATAGTGATGATAGAATACTAGTTAAATTTTATGAAACGCAACTGAAAACAAAGATATATTATGATCTATTTGAAATTGTACAGGATATAGTCCAGTGGACTGACGAACAAAAACAGCATTGGTTACAGAACCCACGGGTTATAAAATTATTTCATTACTTACATATCAAATGTCCATCGTCAAAAAGGTTGAGGCAAGCCTCATTTATATTAAGACGATATCTACCAAATTACTCGCCAGAAGTCATTCATTCCAAGAATAATTTTCATTTTGGTCTCATGGGTAGCTTGGAACCGGAAACGTTTAAAAAGTTCTTAGCGCACGACATCAAATCAGCTAACAAACTAATTGACCGGGCTGTTTATATGAAATTTGAAGAATATTATTTTTGGCCGATATTACGACATGTAAATACAAAAGCGATCATGGAACATTCAATTTTCTTCGAAAATGATGTACGCAACGAAATTAAACAAATGCCTTGGAATAGTATGTGCTATAGGCTATTTATGAGGAACTGGAAATTTTATAGAGAAAATGATTCATCTAGATCATGTTTAAAATAATACCACTTCCTTAACATACAATTACAATTATATCAAACGACAACTCCTACTACTACATAGTAGTATAAATCTCTTCACTAAAGTTACAGACTTTCAGTGAATTATTTGGTTGTTCATTGTTATCGCAAGTATCATTTTCATAGTACTTAACCCACTTAATACATTTCAATCAGTTGTTTCTTTATTTGAGAATGAACTGTAATGAATTTAAAACGATGATCATTTTTATTGTGTTTAATATTACTACTATTATGACCACCACCAAGACTATTTATATAATGTTGAACAAGGACGTTTACAATTGATACTCTATTAACATATACACAATTTCTTCGTATTCAATTTTATTCATATACAAGTACTATTTCGCCAGTAATGTTTGAGTTGAGCACTAAACAAATGTAAATGGTCGTTAAGTTTAATTGTGAATGACAATGATGAACAAGTCAATATCACAAGGTTATTCTAAAGTGAAAGAAAATAACATATACGTGCGCATCCTTTTGTATATTAAAACACATGTATATATAATACATACATATATCTACAAATTATACAAATAAATATGTGTAATGCTAGTATTTAAAACAATCTCTTTTGCAATTATTCAATGAATACTTGAACAGTGATACTTTATGGTGCTACATTCATGATGATGTTGTGAAACTAAAAATAAATAGGAATATAAATCGAAATAGATATCCAAACTTTCCCACCTGATTGTTATGTGTTTTCGTTTTAATTGCCTTCATTTTTTACTACAACTACTATCCCTTGATTATGTTTGTAATACGCAATTATACATAAACATACACGTATACTAATACACACGCAGACAGATACAAATGAATATGTACACTTACAATTATTGTATACACTTATGAATTACCAATGTTCCTTCTTCTTATTGTTAATAATAAGTGAGAACAAAAACATTTGATGGATGAAAATTTATTGAACTTTTTGATGAGCACCAGATTATTGAACACTTATTTAGAACCTTTCTTGTCTGAAAAGTTGTCTATGATATACATTCGTGGCTACCTAAATTTTAGTGGTGATAAATTCTTTGTGTGTTGGATAACTTAGTTGGTAAGATTTCATTATCATCGTGGACAATAATATCAGTGTTATGTTCTTCGATTACCCGATCACACATATATACACACTCCCTATACCAACCTCAGTCTGGTATAAGAGTGAGAAGACTAGGAATGTGTGGGAAGTACTAACTGACGATCGAATCAAAGTGGACACGACTCATAAGAACGCGCATACATGTCTCTCAGGTACTTGAGGCATAAGTAGCTTTAATCAACAGTGCGTCTCCTCCCGCATCTCTTACCTACTGTTTGACCTTGAGCTAGCATGTGCACACAGGAACGCAATATTTTTCTGGACTAGCCCACCTCATCAGTCAGGCGTTGACTTTGAAGTATCAGTTTGAGTTGCAAAGCTTCCCTACTACCTCATGGATATTTAACGTTGGTAATACGTTATCTATTATATAATGGAATTATCTTTATAAACTGTTGCTCTACATCTAATAACTTTGACTGAGTAATGCTATTGATTATTGAACTGACTTATTGAGACACGTAACATTCGTAGCATCAGAATGATTCCACATGACCGTTTGTTTTTCGTAGTGTTAGTCTCTTATGATTGAATATGGACCCATTTACATTAGATAAAGAACATGTAAAATCTGACTCAGTAAAGACGAAAACTTTTATACAATATTCATTTATAGGAACGAATGATAACCAGCCTTTGTCAGACGCATAAAATAGATTCTGTTTAATTTAAGAATAAGTTGTTTTTTTACCTGAAACCATATTTCACCCGACTGTTCACAACAGATCTAATAGGGGTTTACGTGAATCAGTATATAAAGAATTGTGAACTAATACAAAACGAGTATTCACACTGACCAGTCGTATGATCTATATCACGATTTGGAGCTTCATCTTCACACTTGGCTGTCAATATACGATCAAACATTCAAACCCTGTTATAATCAATTCTGTCCAGTTAACCGAATTTCAATGTGTCCTTGTGTGATTGGTGCAAATGATCTCAAATATGATAGACTGGTCTGGACAAATATAGCGAATACAATGAAGCGTAGTTTCGTCCAGACTAACCTTTATGATTCAGTCACTTGTGTGACGTTTATGAGAATTCTAACAGTATAAAAGGCCTACATTTAAAAGATTCACCAATTTTATGAATATTGCTAATGCTGAAGTATATGGAGCTTGCAGCTGATTTTGAAGAAGTTATCCGACACGAAGGCAGACAGGGTCGACAAACGAAATCCTACCTTAATATTGGAAAAATGGTTGACAATGCGTTACACTTTGACGTTTATGTGTAAAGACTATATTAGCTACAACAGCATGCTTTTCATTTTTTAATAAACTGAATTATTATTGCGTTACTTATTTTCGCTTGTTTAAACTTTGCGAAGTAAAAAATACCATCTTATTCAGCCTTGGTTAACTATGTCTTCATGTTGACTGTAAATCCGAGGGGTGGACAACAGTTTAACGATAATTACGAATTAAAAATATAATTCGCATGCTAAATACAGGTCTAAGTATTAGGCTTTGAATCTCATTGTGCGCATGAAGATTAATCATATTGCCCATCTAGAGAAACTTAAGTGCGTAGAGCATTTGGTGATTATAGTGTTTAATGAAAACACGTTAAATCCATACAACAGCATACTCATTCCGACGGAGCATGTGACTACCAAATCCATTACTTCAGTTCTATTGATTGACTCCTGCTCAGTTGTGTAATTAGTTTGAATGCTTTATATGTGAGTCCTTCTAATATACCAGTGTTTAGTTGCCCGTCTTTATTATTTATACACATAAATATTGGTACAAGGAAGCACCAGATACATATGCGCCATGCAAATCTCATTTGATTTGTGTGATGGCTATGATACTGCCCAGGTGCCCAAACTGAAACAGGTGGTTTTCTTAGGGGGCCACACCCCGAGCCTTCGACCTAAAGGTCTGATCCACAAGGCAGTGGAGCATCGTGAGGCGATGCAGTCCCATGGTAGCCGATGACCAATGGTTGATTCACACGCCATTTGTTCCCTTAGAATACTGGAGTTCATGTGCACCATTGGTTTGGAATCAGGGTTTTCCAACTCCCCTATGTGGACTTTCCGTGTCCACCAACCCGGATAAGGCGCCGGACATTCGCTTTTCTTCCTCTCAATTTCGTAAACAACACCCCCGCCACGAAAAGGCAGTGAGTAGGATTTCCCTGGCAGAGGCTATATTACGCATGGTCATGTGAGAGTATTTCGAGAGGGAGAGCGGACTCTCCCCACTCTCGGCCATACCAGGGCATTTGGGGGCCCGTCTATCTGTCTGTTAATTACATTTCATCACTACATTGATCTATAAATATTTGCGACATGCTGATGAGCAATTGGGAATCCAGACAATCTGGACTCATTTCAATTCACTGCAGATTAAATCAGTTTAATGCAATCGTGGATTTATTTCATCCTAACCCCGATACTATTGTTATTTCAGTCCAGCTGTGTTCACTAAATCTTATCATACTTTCATCGTTTATTATAACTTTACCTGTCAGTTAATTCAATTACTTGAATATACATTCAGGGCCATTCGTATTTGAGTTCTTACTTAATCCATTCGTCCTCGGCCATCGAATTGAAGATAACGAATATAACTGTGATACAGCTCAGAATCCGTCAAAGCGCAGCTGCATTCAATATTTATCTTCTCCTACATCCTCAGCTTAAATATTGTTTAAGTCAACCAAAGAAATTCACCAATTATCGCTATCCACTCAATTTTAAACAAATGCTTACCTTGGCTGAAACCATATCGATTCACTGCAATATTTTTTATTTCGTTCACAAGATGAAGAAATATTTTCACTGGTAGTATTTAATTTTCCGTTTAAGCGACTGATATTATCGTAGTTTCTCCAATTACATTTATGGGATTCATGGTATGTACCTCAACCCAAAAGAAATGAGTCTGACAGAATAAATAACAAGCTTAGAATCATGCAAATACTTTGTTTTTAAAGTGTTATGGAAGATATTTAACTGAAACATACATTATTCACAAAAATGCGCTGCAGTCGTTTAGGCATAAGAATAAATTACATTGAAATCACTAACTGGATAAGTCAGACAGACGATACTGTTGAAGTTTTGCTTTTTCTAGCAGTATTTCTTCGGCTGATAACTCATTTTGTTTAGTTTGACAAAGCTGACCAATGTTTCTTACAATTTCATTGGGTGTCTTTAAAATCGTCTGATTATATAGGGGTTCGTAAAACGGATGCCACATGCCTTGAATTGAAGGGCGTTTAGTTGACCAGTATTTATATATTGGAAAAATATTCACCCCAGAACGAGTACGTAAGAAATTGATCCAGTTAGCTATTTCTTCACAAGTCATATCTTTTGCACGTACATACTGCCAGTTGCCACATACTAAAACAATAATAATAATAATTCGTAAATATTCAAACTTACGATACTCAGCAACTAGAAGAGGAGGTCTATTTCTTCGTGGCTTTACGTAGATAGCAGTTGCTGGATTATCTCGAGCAAAGTCCACTAAGTGATTTTCAATATAATCCCTGTGTAAAAATTAGCAATAGTAACAGTACGAAGAAAATACAAAATAATTTCACATAAATGGTAAAAGTTATGGGTCGAAAAATTTGGCAGTGCGCATACTTCATGTACTAGTTACATCCAGATATGAATACCGAAACCTTAGTATGAAACGATTCTAGAAGTGATTGTTAAAATATTTATTAACCACAAAACACAAAGGTTATTGCGCTATCAAATCCTTAATAACTTCATTGGTCTTCTCTTGGCGGGGGTGTTGTTTACGAAATTGAGAGGAAGAAAAGCGAATGTCCGGCGCCTTATCCGGGTTGGTGGACACGGAAAGTCCACATAGGGGAGTTGGAAAACCCTGATTCCAAACCAATGGTGCACATGAACTCCAGTATTCTAAGGGAACAAATGGCGTGTGAATCAACCATTGGTCATCGGCTACCATGGGACTGCATCGCCTCACGATGCTCCACTGCCTTGTGGATCAGACCTTTAGGTCGAAGGCTCGGGGTGTGGCCCCCTAAGAAAACCACCTGTTTCAGTTTGGGCACCTGGGCAGTATCATAGCCATCACACAAATCAAATGAGATTTGCATGGCGCATATGTATCTGGTGCTTCCTTGTACCAATATTTGTGTGTTTAAATAAATAAATTATTGGTCGAAACTATAAACGGTTAGCTTGAAATTACGGGGTTCTCGAACGAATGGACGGAGAAGTTTCGGTCGATTCAAATACCACTAGTGGTTTAAAAACCGGACACTTGTAGTTGAACCAATGAACTAAATAGGTGGAATGAGGTCGATACAGACTTATTACTCAAGAAAGCTACAGGCAATCTACTACCCAGAGTGAATCCGATATCCGTTGGCCATCTGAAATAATTAGGAATGAAGCCTGCCAACAGTACTTAACAACCTTAGTACTCAAAGTTTATGTCACGAGGCCATGCACTGAAAGTCTTTTTTCCTTGATGTTTAGTTTGATATTATTTTTAAATTACATAACTATGTCACCCATGTGCAAAAGATCAATGCAGAGTGAGTACTATTGCCCCTAGTGATCAATAAAACACCGACTAATTAACTAATGATATAAAATAAAGAGTTAGTAGCATACCTGACACCTTGACTATCTCGTCGAAATTTACAGCACTTTAATGTTATTCGCTGTAATTGAGGAACAAATCGTTGAGTTGTAGTTCCATAAACAGCATGTAGTATGGCTCTTGGTAAGACGTTACCAGACATGTAAAGTGATTTTAAGATCTATTTACTGATTAATTTCCGATACTGAGAATTTTCGTTTTTTTGCTTTGTACTAGAAAATTAAAAAGATATGCCGATTAAAGTATAATTTCTACTCAATACAAAAATACTTGAACAAAACAGAAGGCCCATAAGAAAATAAGAGAAAGCTAGGCAATGAAACTGGAAAAGTGGTGAGAACCACAAAATTCTCTGATAATACTTGAAGTCGAACATATAGATAAGGAATGAATCGAAGTATTCGTTTAAATCATTATCGAGTTTCGGATCCTTTTCGAATTTCAGCACTTGAGAACATCAAAATCTTGAATAGGTTATTAAATCATGAATTTAATTGACACCAACTGATTCACGTTGGCGTGACACTTATCAATAATGGATTAGCAGAAACAGATAGGTCCTAGTTTCTGTCCAGCTTCCAATTTATTGCAAGCTTTTTTACCTGTTCATCGTTTTTCTGTTCAGGTGAAAATGAGTCCCCTGCATAAGCTCATCACGCCGAGATCATCTACGATGGGACTACTCGTATTCGCAAATAGGTAGTGCCAGTTAAAAACTACTTTAAAACTGACACCTCGAGTAGATGGGAGTAATGCACGTAGCGTTTACACTAAGCTGTAGTCTTAGAGCGAACAACACTGAATTTAAAAAGGTATAAGTTACGTAGTTGAACGGAGAATGGACATGATACTTAGATATATCAAAAGGCTTCCTCGAATATCCTGGTTGAATGGCAGGAATACGAAAAGTATGATTCAGTTCCTACCTTTAAATATGAACATTCACATAAGCACGTATGACAACTATCGAGAAAAAGCCTATGACCAGAAGTGGGTTAATCAGTATTTGTTGACTATAAGTTTCAGTTTGGAAAGGACAGGAGGCTTGATGGCCTGTGTTAGTCCTGGCAATGATGGTCTCTCAGTTGATCCAACTTTCTTTTGAAAGAGTCGACAGATGAAGCCTCAACCACGAGCTGAGGAAATGAATTCCACTCGTCGATGGGAAAGTCGATAGTCAGCTGGCAAGTAATTCGTCCTGGGTTTGTGAACTTTTTTGGAGACTATTTATAGGTACGGAAACCTGGAATCCAGACAAGTAAATAGCAAGGACTTGAAGAAAGAGATGGGAGAAAACAGCCAGCGAAGAGAAAAAAGTAATGAATGATTAAGGAAGATTTCCGTATAAAAGAACTACTTTAACACCAACAAAATCTCACAAAAAATGATATGATCGCTATTTAAAAAGGACAGTGGTATTTTTCCTCGTTGAGTAAATTCTATTGTTTTGATCGTTACTAACGTATCAAAACTACTGTTTATATTTTGATTGAATTTCTTTCAGTTAAAGTATTCGACTAGAGTATCATTTTTGGTATCCGAAATTGTTTTATCGTCGGTACTCCAGAGTACCTTGTTTTTCTATTGTATCTGCTAGTACTTTGGTCCTAACTATTTATAGTTTTTTCTACTTTTAGTCAACACTCACTTTCTCATCCTAAAATGACTGGAAGGTGCAACAAAAGCATTTGCCACCGCCCAGGATGTCGATATCCCGTTGACAGCGGCATGCAGTGCGATGAGTGCAAAGGTTGGTACCACGAAGTTTGCACGAATCTAACGCCTGCAGCTTTTAAGCGGTTCAGTAAGAATGAATGCATATGGCTATGTCAACAGTGCTGTTTGGATGCAAATAGCCTGTTAACCGAGGCCATCTCAATAGTAAATGCCGCAAAAAAGTGTCTCGGCAAGCGCGGTCGGGATACATCAGTCAGAACTCAATCTGTCGACACGCAGATTGACATAAGGCAGGCCCAAGTGAGTCCAAAAATGCTGACCCACACTGACCAAAAGAGAAAAGACAGCCTCCAAAGAGGTCTGTCACAACCAGAAACTCGAGAAAAAAAGTCTCTTCTGTCCCTCGTATCAAAAATGGTACCCAGAAGGGAACTTCCGGAACCCAAAACCGCAAGGCTCGATCGGTTTCCAGCGCAAAAGATGACTCAACCTTCCAAGTCATCCTGAACCTTCCGGAATCCCGTAATACGCCTGACGCGACTGTGGTTACTACTTCAAAGAACGTCAACGATTGGGTACGGGTCGTAAGGAAAAAACGGCAAAATGACGTAAAAGGGAATTCTACCCCCACCAAAAGGGTCGAAAAGCCGAAGTCTGATCACAGCGACAGATCAGTCATTTTCCATAGAGTCAAGGAAAGTGACAGCTCAGAACCGAAAGCTCGTTTTGAGCATGACATTATGTTGATAAAACAATTACTCAACCAAGTTATGCCCCAAAACATCTCCGGAGTCACCTTGCTAAAGGTGTATAGACTAGGAAACCTGGCGCATCTGAAGCCTAATCAGTCTAGACTGCTCAAAGTCGTTTTCAAATCCCCAAACGAACGGGACTTAATCTTAGAAAATGGACACAAATTAAAGGGTTCAGGAGTCTTTCTCCGTAAGGACTTACCGTTGGTGAACCGTGTAAAAAGACGGGAAGCCGAAAAAGAACTACAACTCAGATTAGACGCTGGCGAAAAAGACCTGGAAATTGTAAATTTTTGGGTTGTGAGGCTTCGATAGAGGATGATGCCGAAGCCACTCAGGGTGAAGTACGAGGCCACTTAAATAGGCTTCGGATCTGTTATACCAATGCCCGGAGCTTACTCAATAAGTTACCGGAACTAGGTGTACAGATTGACTCAACTAGGCCAGACATAATCGCAGTCACAGAAACATGGCTGACGCCGTCTATAGATAGTAGGGAACTTGATTTTGAGGGTTTTACATTAGTAAGGGCCGATAGAATACAAACGCGTAAAGGACGGGGAGTAGCTCTATTCATTAGGAATGCTATTCCACTCACCATTATCGACAGTGTATCCCATGAGAGTGGGACGTATGAATTAGTTAGCTGCCGCCTGAAATGCAGGGGACAAGAGTTGCTGCTTAGTTTGATCTATCGCAGTCCAAGCTGTGAGGTAAACGAGGTCCTGCTAAGCAGTCTCAACACTTTATCACGAACTGATCGATGTATAATCCTAGGGAACTTTAATGCACCCATGGTGGACTGGGGAAATCTGCGGGCTGAATCGTCAGCAAATTCCTTCGAACAGGAACTAGTTGATGTGGTAATCACATGTGCCCTAGTGCAACACGTGAAGGAAGCAACTAGGTACGACCCGGGTTCTACATCATCCTTAATAGATCTTATATTGACTCATTATGAGGATGACGTTGCAAACCTGGATTACATGCCACCCCTAGGTAAAAGTGATTATGCAGTTTTAACCTTTGACTTCGATATAATTGTCGATCACGAGCACGCCCCAGCTCAATCCAGACCTAACGTCTGGAAAGTAAACATACCAGACATCATGAAATCAGCATCATCAGTAGATTGGAAAATAGACCCAGAGTCATCAATCGAAACGGCTTGGGACGTATTCCGGAATTTATAATTAAAAGTTACCGACCCCCATATCCCTTGGACTACACTTAAGGGGCCGAGAAACTCCCCACCGTGGTTCAGTAGGGAGGTTCGCATCCTTCTCCGTAAAAGAAGGAAAATGTGGGATAGATTTAGGTTACTGGGGACTGACGAGGCGAAATCTCAGCATCAAAAGGCTCGAAATACCTGTGCCTCGACCCTCCGTAAGGCCAGAAAGCTGTACGAAGAGAAAATCGTTAGGGAATCCATAGAATGCCCTAAACGCTTGTATTCGTATATAAACCAAAGGGCAAAAAGAAGAAATGTTCCTTCACTATGGGGAGACAGTACTGCCTCATCACTAGTGGAGGATGACTTTGGCAAAGCTCAAGTATTCTCTAAATACTTTAGCAATGTATACACCATAGGAACACCCTTCTCACCAGTCCATGAAAATCCCCCCACACAAGCACTGGACAGCGTGATCATTAAAGAACTCGATGTCCTTGGTCTGCTAGTTAAGCTTGACATAGGTAAATCCACTGGACCCGATGAACTGCATCCTAGGTTACTAAAGGAATTAGCTAACTTTGTTGCAAACCCCTTAAGTGTATGTTTTAATCTATCCGTAACCCAGGGTCGTCTACCAAAAGACTGGAAGAACGCCGTAGTAAGTCCAGTCTCCAAAACAGGTACAAAACATAAGCCTGAAAATTACTGACCAATTAGTCTAACTAGTGTGGTTGTTAAAATCTTAAAAAAGATTATTCGGAAGGAGCTGTTAAAGTATCTCGATGAAAACCGGATGCTCTCCGAAAAGCAGCATGGTTTTAGAACAGGTTACTGTTGTCTCACAAACTTATTAGTCGCTCGTGAAAGCTGGTGCGCTCTTAAGGACCAAAAGTTACCTATAGACATAGCTTACACCGATTTCAGCAAAGCTGTCGACAAAGTTCAGCATAACCGGCTGTTATATAAGCTAAGGAATGTCGAGATTGGAGGCAATCTATTGATGTGGATAAAAGACTTTCTAGTTGGGCGTCAACAAAGAGTAAGGGTGAACTCCAAGTTGTCTAGCTGTTTAACTTCATTATAGACCTGTTGCTGCAAATGACACTCTCGTCGACTGAGTTTACAGGAATTGATCTCCTACCAGGGGGACCACTAAGCGACTTAGAATACGCAGATGACATAGTCCTGTTTGGTGAAGACGCTGACAAAATGCAGAGTCTTCTGTTGGAACTGAGTAATAATGCCAGGATGTTTGGGATGCGTTTCTCCCCATCCAAATGTAAATTGTTACTCCAGGACTGGCCTGCGTCAACACTCGAACTAAGGATAGGGAGTGAAGTAGTCGAACGCGTTGACAACTTCACTTATCTTGGAAGTCTGATCAGCCCTAATGGGTTGGTGTCTGACGAAATCTCAGCACGGATTCAAAAAGCTCGTTTGGCTTTTGCCAACTTACGTCACCTATGGCGAAGACGAGATATCCGTCTATCAATTAAGGGACGAGTATACTGCGCAGCAGTTCGTTCTGTTCTACTTTACGGCTGCGAAACATGGCCATTAAGAGTAGAAGATACTCGTAGGTTACTAGTATTTGACCACAGATGCCTTAGAAATATTGTTCGCATCTGCTGGGATCACCGAGTAAGTAATAGTGAGGTTAGACGCAGGGTATTAGGTAACGATGGTAAATCAGTTGATGAGGTGATAAATCTTCATCGACTGAGATGGTTGGGCCATGTGTTACGTATGCCTGAACACCGATTACCACGACGCGCTATGATGACTAGTATTGGGGACGGTTGGAAGAGAGTTAGGGGCGGCCAAACCAAAACATGGCATCAGTGTTTGAAGTCACTAACTTCTAGCCTGAGCCATGTTGGCAGATGCAGACTACCTGGTTGGGGTCCGCGTGCCTATCGTAATAAATGGTTGGAGACTCTAGGTGACATGGCTCAGAATCGATCACAATGGCGTAGGTGTATACACTCTTTATCTTCCCTTAAACCTTGAGATTAAAATTGCTTCATATCTCTCTTCCTTCCTGTACTATATCTTTCTATACAATCTTTCTTTATATACTACCACCACTAAATTAATTGCTTCTATGAATCCGGTGTTCATCTTGTTGTGCTAAAGAGGTATGGCAACTTGGACCGATGCATATATGTGCCTGGTCCTACGTTGTAGCTGACTGACTGACTGTCTAGCTGGGGAACTGTGCTTAGTGGAGTCCCCCAGGGTACAGTTTTGGGGCCAGTGTTATTCCTCCTGTACGTAAATGACCTCCCTCGTCTACTATCGTCATCAGTCTTACTCTATGTTGACGATGTCAAGATATGGAGAGCGATACAAAACAAGGACGACAGCTTAGAACTCCAAAATGACCTGGAGAGATTATCTGAATGGTCCCAAACCTGGAAATTGCCGATAAACACTTCCAAGTGTATTGTGATGCATATTGGCCACCAGGGCACAGATACATACACGATGAATAACACTGAGTTACCTATTGTCCAAGCACACAATGACTTAGGCGTCATCGTTAGTCGAGACTTAAAGACTACTGCACACTGCCGTGCAATAGCCGCCAAAGGTTTTAGGACTTTATGGTCCATACGCAGGGCTTTTAGGCATCTCGACGCTAAAACGTCTCTGACTTTGTATAGTGTTCGTACGCCCTAAACTTGAGTACCGCATGCAAGCAGCTAGCCCCTGCCTAAAAAAAGACAGCGAACTCTTGGAAAGGGTTCAGAGAACAGCAACTAGGCTGATTCCTGGAATAGCGAAGCTCCCGTATTGTACTAGACTGACCAAGCTAAACCTATTTCCGCTGACATATAAAATAATCAGAGGCGAATCGATTACAGTTTTCAAATTGCTTAATGACAAATTTGTGCCTGATATGCCCTCATTTTTCTTGTCTTGCAAAACAGAAAATCTACGAGGACACTCCAAGAAAGTTCACAAGCCCAGAACGAATTACTTGTCAGCTGACTACCGACTTTCCCATCGAATCATCAACGAGTAGAATTCATTACCTCAGCACGTGGTTGAGGCTCCATCCGTCGAATCCTTCAAAAGAAAGTTGGATCAACTGAGAGACCATCATTGCCAGGACTAACACAGGCCATCAAGACTCCTGTCCTTTCCAAACTGAAACTGAAACTTACGAAATAGTCATTTTTTCAAATACAAGCTTTCTTCAGTTTGGTTAGTTTCGGATTTAATACTTTTGTACAGTTAGATACAAGAATGTAAAGTAAAATACTGCATAGACCCCTGCAGGGGTCATGACTTGCTACTGAGTCCTGAGAAACTGGTCACCAGGTCGACTTTTGTACGCTTTTTAATAAAAGTGTGCAGTGAAAAATTTAGGTACAAAAGTAGTAGAATTACTGAAGTAAAAAAACATGAGTCTAAGTAATATATGGTTCTATATGCCAAATCTACCCTAACTAAATACTCAGAGTGTAAAGAAAGACGTACGAAACAAGCAAATCGTGAAGAGCTATATATATAAACCGTTATATCTAGTCAAACAGTGTATAATGAAAACCAACATCATGTACAACCATACGGCTCAAGAAAGTATTTGCTAACACATTGTAACGCAAATACTCGAAAACTTTCCGTTGACTGTCAAATGGTTCTAATGGTTGAGGACGGAATAGGAGAAGCTTTCGCTTAACGGGCTTCCGTGTCTAATAGCAGTGGATCACCAATACCTCCAGGCAAAAACCTAGGTATATGAACGATAATAGAGGAAAAAAAGAATTTGGTAAATCATAATAATATGTTATCATTAGTCCTTAGGAATGAGTCAAGTTTCCTCCTAAAGGACTCCTGGGAAGTCGCTCGAACTAGCTCAGTCGTCAGCGAATTCCAGCACTTGACAACTCTAACGGAGTAGAAGTTGTGTCTGCAGTCTGTTCTGCTATGTAGGGTCTCCAATTTCTGTGTGTTACCTCTGAGGTTAGTGTTATGACTAAGAAGATGTTTAAGGGGATAACCAGAAGTATTAAGGATACTGTAAGTCATAAGAAGGTCACCTCTAAGACGCCTGTACTCTAACCGGTAAAGGTTGAGTTATTGGAGGCGCTCTTCGTAAGGCCTCAGTTTGAGTCCCCGAACTGATTTCGTGGCTCGACTTGGATACGTTTCAGAGTGTCCTTATCCTTTTGGAGGGAGGGAGGGAGGGAATACTATGTTTCCGTACTCTAAATGGGGACGAATAAAACTGTTGAAGATTATGTGGAAGGTTCTACCGTCAAACTGGCCAAAAATGCGCCTCAATGTTACCAGGGCAAGGTTTGCTTGAAAGGCGTTTTTGTCACAGTTCGCATGCGATTTCAGGTCATAGGGTACCAACACTCACAAATCTTTTTCGATTTGGGAAACTTCTAGAAGGGAGTTGCCTAAGTTATAACTATAGCCTGCAACAAGTCTCAGAATCTTTTTCCAATATATAAATACTGGTCAACTAAACGCCCTTCAATTCAAGGCATGTGGCATCCGTTTTACGAACCCCTATATAATCAGACGATTTTAAAGACACCCAATGAAATTGTAAGAAACATTGGTCAGCTTTGTCAAACTAAACAAAATGAGTTATCAGCCGAAGAAATACTGCTAGAAAAAGCAAAACTTCAACAGTATCGTCTGTCTGACTTATCCAGTTAGTGATTTCAATGTAATTTATTCTTATGCCTAAACGACTGCAGCGCATTTTTGTGAATAATGTATGTTTCAGTTAAATATCTTCCATAACACTTTAAAAACAAAGTATTTGCATGATTCTAAGCTTGTTATTTATTCTGTCAGACTCATTTCTTTTGGGTTGAGGTACATACCATGAATCCCATAAATGTAATTGGAGAAACTACGATAATATCAGTCGCTTAAACGGAAAATTAAATACTACCAGTGAAAATATTTCTTCATCTTGTGAACGAAATAAAAAATATTGCAATGAATCGATATAGTTTCAGCCAAGGTTGTTTATATCGTAGTGAACATGGTAGTATCTTACTCGGTGAATGTCCGTCCCTAAGCCCACAGGGTTCCAAACTCCTTAGCTGCGACCTCCCAGCAATGGGCCATGGTCTTAAGATCATGACTCATTATCACTACACAACCCTTGTGAGACCGGACGACGGATACGAGCACTTCTATGCTGCACCGATTTACTTTTGTACCCCCAAAGTGCATGTAGACACACATTGCTGCGTTGATAGGCATCAGCCACTCTTTATACCAGTTAATCACAATATTTAAATCTCCATGAAGTGCGCATACATCTGAGTCTCCCATTAATTCTCGCAAGATTTTTACATTGTTAGTGTATTATAACGTTAGGGACTCAACTATACTTGGGAGATCATATACTTACAGTATAAACAGTAAAGGACCTAAGACGTACTCCACTAAGTACTAGTCTTCAGGTGAAACACTTTGGATTGATTCTTACTTTCCGTCTACTACCTATAAGGAAATCTCTAAGCCAAATTAGGAGAGGTCCGGCGATGACTAGATTTTCCAGCTTAATTAGCAGTCTATTTGCTGGCACCTTTTCAAATTCTTTGCAGAAGTCTATACAGACAGCATCCACTGATTTTCCCTTGTCCAGAGCCTCTATCCATTGCTTCCGTGTCTAGTAGCAGTGGATCACCAATACCTCCAGGCAAGAACCTAGGTACATTAACGATAATAGAGGGAAGAAAAGAATTTGGTAAATCATAATAATATGTTATCATTAGTCCTTAGGAATGAGTCAAGTTTCCTCTTAAAAGACTCTTGGGAAGTCGCTTGAACCATCTCGGTACAGGTTCTCAAATTGACCAGCTGTAAGATAATTTTCATTTGGTGGCAAATGGTTGTGGACGGAGCAGAAGAGTCTTTTGACAATCGAGCTTGACGTTCAGAATTAATGTATCACTAATACTTACAGGTAGGAACCAAACTAATGACAGTACTAAGGTATGTGAATCTGCAGTTTCGGTTCCGGAATCACATGTCAACGCAAAACAACGCAGATCTGCATTGGACGCCAAATCGGAATCGGATTGCAGGGAAGAGATGATTTCATGAATGAAATTCCACAACGCATTAAGACGGACCTTGTTGACAGGTCGCTCGTTTTTTATAAATCAAGACAATCTTTCGAGAAGGAACCTGAGCATACCACAGGTATTTGTAGTTTGACAACACTTTAACCAGCAACACCTTTAATTGGATCGTGCCCACCCAGTGAAACCAAAAGTCAGAAGTGAGGAGGTTAGGAGGTATATTTGATAGGTTATCAATATATCGAGAAGTGACGAATCTAAGTTGGCTAGTGATCGCAGGACAAGTTTAACAAGGAGTTCCACTCGTGATCTGGTGCGGATGCATGACCGTTATCGTTAATGTACCTAGGTTCTTGCCTGGAGGTATTGGTGATCCACTGCTACTAGACACGGAAGCAATGGATAGAGGCTCTGGACAAGGGAAAATCAGTGGATGCTGTCTGTATAGACTTCTGCAAAGAATTTGAAAAGGTGCCAGCAAATAGACTGCTAATTAAGCTGGAAAATCTAGTCATCGCCGGACCTCTCCTAATTTGGCTTAGAGATTTCCTTATAGGTAGTAGACGGAAAGTAAGAATCAATCCAAAGTGTTTCACCTGAAGACTAGTACTTAGTGGAGTACGTCTTAGGTCCTTTACTGTTTATACTGTAAGTATATGATCTCCCAAGTATAGTTGAGTCCCTAACGTTATAATACACTAACAATGTAAAAATCTTGCGAGAATTAATGGGAGACTCAGATGTATGCGCACTTCATGGAGATTTAAATATTGTGATTAACTGGTATAAAGAGTGGCTGATGCCTATCAACGCAGCAATGTGTGTCTACATGCACTTTGGGGGTACAAAAGTAAATCGGTGCAGCATAGAAGTGCTCGTATCCGTCGTCCGGTCTCACAAGGGTTGTGTAGTGATAATGAGTCATGATCTTAAGACCATGGCCCATTGCTGGGAGGTCGCAGCTAAGGAGTTTGGAACCCTGTGGGCTTAGGGACGGACATTCACCGAGTAAGATACTACCATGTTCACTACGATATAAACAACCTTGGCTGAAACTATATCGATTCATTGCAATATTTTTTATTTCGTTCACAAGATGAAGAAATATTTTCACTGGTAGTATTTAATTTTCCGTTTAAGCGACTGATATTATCGTAGTTTCTCCAATTACATTTATGGGATTCATGGTATGTACCTCAACCCAAAAGAAATGAGTCTGACAGAATAAATAACAAGCTTAGAATCATGCAAATACTTTGTTTTTAAAGTGTTATGGAAGATATTTAACTGAAACATACATTATTCACAAAAATGCGCTGCAGTCGTTTAGGCATAAGAATAAATTACATTGAAATCACTAACTGGATAAGTCAGACAGACGATACTGTTGAAGTTTTGCTTTTTCTAGCAGTATTTCTTCAGCTGATAACTCATTTTGTTTAGTTTGACAAAGCTGACCAATGTTTCTTACAATTTCATTGGGACATCTCGGGACATCTCAGAGGACATACTAGGCGGGTAGAAAATTCAAGAACGGATAAAATACCCGTGACACACAAGCTTTCATGACTACTCATCAATTCTTTGTACCTGCTGCCCGAAGCAGTGGTGTCCGGTCCTTCAATTAACTCATTCAAGAGAAGACTAGACAATCAAATACGCATACCAGAAAAGGGATAACACGGGCCGAAGGTCTTCTGTCCTTACCTCACACATCTGGATCTGAACCAGAAATAAGAAATCCAGAACATTTCAGCAAAGTTGTTTTAATGACTGGACGAAATAGAAGCTTTCACTTGGTGGACCTTGATATTCAGTGACAGTGTATCTATGGTGCTCCCAGTGGGAACTCAAATATATTGAACAGACAAAAGAGAAATATTAGCAAATAAGAATGAAATATTCTCCGGTGTACTAAAGTATATCTACTGATCCTATCGTGATGGTAGTGTTTGCCGCTGAGGAATACATTTGGATTGAGAAGAGAATAATATATTTCATATGAAAAGCAAGAGGTTAAATATTAGTGACCACACCTGCATGGCTGAGCCATGCCATACTAACTAAGAGTTCCAGCGTTTAACGCTTTTAGCTTTCTCAGTAGCGCTGAATGTTGAATATAAATCTCACTAATTACATGTTCAGCCTCAAAGATCGTGTGACTAGAACCCGATACTACTACAAATGCTCGATAGTTTAAGAACATTGAGGAAGTGACTTCAACTTTGGTTGGGAGAATTAGCGAATTGTTCATTGCCAAGACTGGAGTGTTTCCTTGGTTATTCGGAAAGGCCTAAATTATCGTGCCTATCATTCAAGGCGGGATATGTCCAGTTTTCATCATGCGGTGACTGGCGTTTGCGATAAAGGTACCCTGAGTATTAGAAAGCGTGAAGTTTAGGGTGCGTGAAAACCTTTGAAAGGAAGAAGAGCGAGTCAGTGACCAAGCATGTGCACGAAATTCACCTTATGGGTAAAGCAGTTGGAGGTAACTCATAATAATATAAGAG